GGTAGAGAGGAACCTGATTTTGCTGGCAAGGTATATTTTCCCCTGAGCAAATTCCATTTGGAGACAACTCATGCACGGTGATTTCAGGTTGCAGTCACCTTTCCACTCGACAAAAGTTGGCCATGTTGAAAATTTTTCCTAGTTCATCAATTTACTTGTATTTTAATCTTCATAGTTAACTATTAGGCTTTGATTATCCAATGGTTGAGAAAATCCTCTCAGCGTGCGTGCGCTAGATCAGGGCGGTGAGTTACTTACAAGGAACCATTATTGTGCTTCCTTTGTTCCCAAATTCAAATGCGTGCAGTGGTGCACTTGTCTGCTTGCTTTGCTTTGGAGGTTAATATCTCAATCTCTGTACAAGTTTAGTTCGACGCCTTCTTTCTCGTAGTATAGAAATAGCGTAGATTATTATAAATAGTTATGCAAAAAAAAAAAAAAAAAAAAAAAAAACTTTCTTGGTCAGACCTATTGAATTAATTGTAGATGAAATCAAGGGTGCATTAACATAAAAATAGGTTGACCACAAATTGATAGAAGGTTACGAAGATGAAAAAACACCAAGGACTAGAAATGATGGAGATTCCTCTCTTCCCTGAAAGATAACAAAGGACGTGCAGGAGAGACTTTTTCTATGATGTTTCCATTTCATTCTAATTTGACGTGTTGTATAAAATTTGTAGAATGACGGTGCAGAACATTAACGCATAAAAGGTGTGGATTCAAAATAATTAAAGAGGGAGCAATCAACCCGTCTTCCTTACTTGCAAATTAACGTAATCTTTTATTCCAGGTAAGGTAGGGATTCCATTGTCATTTTCAATATCAATAGCAGCCATTCCACCTTTTTGGCTTTTATGATGTAATCCAAAAAAGAATAAAGTTAACTAATGATTCTTTCATTATGAACCAAGCACTAATTTACAACATGGCTGTGGTGAAAACCTCTCTAAACAAATATTATTATTAATTATTATTTGCGAGTAGGCTTATTGTAATTTAATACTCATCTTCTCGTGATGTGTTACGGGTTCTTTTGTAGTCATTCTTCGTTAAAACTTACACAATAAAGTTCTTTCCTTGGCGGAGAAGGTGATTACCATTAAGACCGCTCGAGTTAAGTTGATGACAGCTCTTTGATTGATGGAAGTGATTCATATACTCTTTTTTGTGTTTTGAAACTTACAATAAATTTTACGAAATCTATTATATTATTGTTTCCGAAGTTTAACTTAATTTTGTCTTACGTTAAATGTTTTTTATATAATTATATACCAATCGAGAATAATAATTTTGGACCGTACTAACTTCTTGAATTAAGTTGGTTTTTGGACCATGTTAAGTAGGCAAAATACTACTATTTGTTTTTTACCAGATCAACAGGATAATAGTTAGTTTTGGACGTTGTTAGGTTGAGTTAAAGTCAGCAATTAGATGCCCGTGATTGACAGAAAATTTTGTACTCCCTCTGTCCCGTTTTGTTAGTCTTGATTTTTTTTCCACACAGATTAAGAAAGTGTAATTAATTTGGTTAGAAACATAAATTTAGATTAATAATTTCCTAAAATACCCTTATGCTAATCACAAAGAGTGTCAATTAATATCAGTTACAGCTAATGGGTTAGTATTGAAAAAAACTCAATGTTTTCAATGTAGTGGGTTAGTATTTAATAACAATGTATTAATAATAAGATATTTAATAAGGGTATTTTAGATAATTTGAAAGATTACTACATTTTTTAATGGGAAAGTGGACTACAATTTGGGACAGACGAAAAAAGAAAACAAGACTATTATAGTGGGACGGAGGAAGTATCTCGAACTTATGTGACGACTATAGTGATGAATGGGGTATACTTCTACGGGACTATGGCAATGCTTGGGGCTGCTAGACTTTGAGGGGCAATTAAGAAGTTTGATATTAATTAATGTGTTGATCCTACGACATCACCATGAGGTTTGTTTGGATTGTAAGTTATTTGAGATATTTTTACTGTAGTACATTTTATGATGTAATGTATGTGAGATAAAAAGATAATTGGGAAGATAATGCTAGTTATAGCTTTTGTATTAGGTTTATCATTGGATTTGTATTATTTATTTAACTTGCATATTGGGAGGGTCTTCTGTGGATTATGGTTAATGTTGACCTGAAAATTTATAAATTTACTTATGTGATGTTTGAAACTTTGTGCTGTAGTGGTTTATCCGCGAGACATGCCATCAATATGGACATGGTGATGTCATGTCTCGATGGGGAAAGGATTAAAACAAGAAGATTTGAGAATTGAATCAGGAATCCCTCTTTTTTACAATGTCTGTGCCTGCTAAAATAGTGTAGCACTTTTTTTTTTAGATTGTCACGTACGTGAGATAAAAAAATAATTAAAAATAAAAAAATATGTTAAAAATTGTATTTGTAATATAAGCAAATAATTTCTAGTCATTGTTTGACAATCCAAACACGCCCACTAGTTTTTGGGGAGACTTTAACGAATATTTATTTGTGAACCCAGTTTTTTCAGACAATGCTCCAAATAGGAAAAAGAAAAACACGAGCATTTTTTAATATGAATTGCAAACTTAAAAATTATAAATATGACAATTTATTACATTTTTTGTAGGATCTACCGATGCTACAATCCGATCCTACAAACTAAAAAATAATCCTAGGTAGGATCCCAATTTTGAAAACCTTGGTACCAAGCTGAACAATAATTCATTTTGGTTCTACAAGAATTAGTGCTACGATTCCTTGTTTAACCCCTTTTTACAGCTCTATTCCAGCCACCTCAGATAGAGTTGCCTTTCATTCCATTTGTCTCCTCAAGCAAGCTACACATCAAAATATGAAACTTTTTTTTTTTAAGGTGGGTAAATAACTAGTCGAATTCTATCCACTTCGTAATTTGTGTAATAGTTGGCGTAAACTCGTATACCTTTACCAAAGTTACACGGATTTATGTTGTAAGAATTATATCAACTGAACAAAGTCCAAATCCCAAATATAATACCAGTCATATGTGCAAAAATTCAATCTACAAAATTGCTGAAGTTATGTGATTAAATAGTTATTCAGTGGTTTAAGTTATGACTGACCTACAAAATTTTCTAGGAACATGTTATAGATTGAATTTACACGTGTATATATCTATTTAATTTTACATAACATTACAAATAATATGTATTATACGTGATTATTTGATGTCATCTGGTATTAACTAGTAAAAAGTATAGCATTCATTGTTAAGTTGGCCAATAAAACTATTTCCGATTAAAATATATTTCCGATTAAAATATATTCTTATTGTATTTTGATCGCGAATAGCTTTATTAGCCAACTTGACAATGAATGCAAGATTTTTTACTAATTAATATCAGATGAATCAAATGATCACGTATAATACATGTTATTCGCATTGTTAGGTAAAATTAAATAGACACATATGTGTTTTTTTTTAAAAGTATTCAGCACATGATTAGTGAGGGATGAAAATTTTATTTTGTGAAATATGAGGAATAGAAAAATTCATTTTATGAAATATGAGAGATGAAAAAATTCATTTTGTGAAATGTGAGGGACTATGGATCGAATTATATGAAATGTGATTTGATAATTTTGCCCTAAAAAATAATCACGTGCAAAGCATGTGGTATATTCTAGCAAAACATTAGTTGAAAACATAGATAGAGACCAAATTTGATCGACATAAATCTATAAGGGACATAAAATTACACTTTTAAAAGTGAAGGATGAAGAAAGTTATTTTTGCAAAATGTGAGGGATATTGTGAACGATTTTTTCAAAAAATAAATGCAAGATTTTAAATGTTAATAAACAAGAAAAAAGTGAGCAAAACTTCAAAAATTGAATTTTTTTCTAAGATAATTCGAATAGGTAAATGTTCACAATGACTTGGATATTGCATACAATAGTACTAACTACTAGTTTTTTTTTTTTGTGAAAGGTTTTGAATTCAAAATCTCTTTCGTACTAAATATTAGTAGAATCCTTGCTTGAATGTAATTTTTGGAGAATATTTTTTGACACTTTTTAAAGATATAGTTTAAGTGTTAAATTTTTAGAAAACTAAAAATAATTAGAGAAAGTAAATAAATAAAAGAAAAAATAATAATTGTCAATACGTACATTCACATGTTAGGTTAAGTGTAAATTATGTATATTAAAAAGTTAAGTGTGATTTAAGTACATTAACAAGTGTACATTTTCCCTGCCGTTAAATTTAAAATTTGAATATTGTGCCTCATAGTTGAAGGTAGAAATGGTGTGAAAAGAGGTGAAAGGATAAAATAAAAAAAAATGTACATTGAATACTAATAGGTACCTGTTAAAAAAAATCCTTTTTTTTATATACATCAAATTAAAAAAAAATTAAAAAACCCTAATTTTTTACAAAAACTTGTGAAACTACCAAAAAATACAATGCAAATGGGAGAGCATTGCACAAGCACAAACAACACATGCTGATAGATTTATAATTAGGGAAAAAAATCTACTAGTACAAGAAAACTCGAGGACTTGGTCGGGCGTAATTGATCCTACTGGAAATGAAACAGCAAGAATCCAAATCCAGACCAGAAATAGACAAAAAAAAAAAAAAAACTTGCAAGTAACAATTAAAATCTTGGGTGTGGATGAGGACATGGGGTCAGAGATTAGAGGAAGAGAAAAGAAATAGTAGACGAGAAAAATATATTATCAATAGATAAAGGTGCAGAAGAAGAAGACAACGTAGTAGTAAGAAGAAGGAACCACTTAATAAGTGGACAAATAGGTGTGAAGCAGGGGGAAGGCAGAGTACAAAAGGCAACAGAAATCGTGATTCCGTGCCCTCAAACACAAAACCTTTCATCCTCTCGTCATCCATCACTACTTCATTACTACACTACACATATTATACACTACATATTACACTACACTACACCTCGATTTGATCGTTCCTTCCTCTCTCTCTCTCTCTCTTTTTCACCCTCTATCCTTCTCTGTCTCTCTCTTTCTTTCTTTCTAGTTTGCCAGTAATGGCAGTGGCTCAGTGGCAGTGCAAGAAAAGAGGGAGAGAGTTTTCATCGGGAAGGTAAAGCTTTGCACCACAAGCCTCAAACATACTACTACTACGACGACTAGTATTACTTACTTCCCTTGCACAATTTACTAGTTGTAACATTTTCCCATGGCAAGGAGGAAAGACTACACAGACTCTAAAAACTCGCTCTCTTCCTGTTGAACTCCTCCTCCTCCTCCTCCTCCTAAATTACTAAACCTATACTACTACTACTATTAGTACTTGCTAAAAAGCTACTACTACAATTCCCGCGTGCGCTCTGCAATTTCTAGTGTACTTACTACTACTCATTTGTGCTTTGTTTTGTTGGAAAAGACAGAGAGACAGAGAGTTTAGAACTAATTCTCATTTGCTGTTGAACGAGAAACGTGTTAGTATGTAGTTATAAGCATAGGGAGGAGAAAGGAAAAAAAATATTAAATCTATTTCATTTCAACAGCCTTTCTCAGACCTTATCTATATTCATCCCAGAGAGCAAAGACTAAAGTAAAGAAAAAGAAAACAAAAAAATCCTGCTTCCAGCAGCTAGCTCCGCTACTTACTGACTAACGCTACCACTATTTAGGATTTTCTGTAAAAAGGCTGAAGCCAGTAGCATAAAACTCGGGAGACCCCTGCCCTCTGCCTAGCCAGCATCAAAAGGAGAAGCAAGATTGCTAGCACATAGTAGTATAAGACAACAAGGGGAACCTCAACCAACCTTTATCATCACTGTTGAAGTTTTATGAGTGGAATAATAACTAAGGGTTAAGGAAGCCCTTGTCATACACTAGTACTAGTAGTATATAACAAGGTTAAACTGAAGACGCTAAAGTGAGGGTGTGCAAAAGAGGAAGAGTCTGTTGTGTGCGTTCTTATAATGGAGGGCTCAAGTTCAACTTCATGCTTGATGATGGCTTTTGGGGGGGACAACAGTAGTGGTGCTTTAGGAGGTCCTACAAGTCCTATGATGATGATGATGATGCCTCCTCAGATGACTTCTTCTACCCACCTTAATGCAGAGACCAATACCCTATATCTTCCTCTACCTCATGCTCATCCCAGCGACACCCAAGACCACCCCAATAATCGTCGCACTGCAGCTACTTCTGCTTCTTCTATGATGCAGCTGGATGATGAAAACCACAACAACAGTCATCATAACTTGAGCAGCAGCACCACTGGCGGTGGCAGTTTTTTCGTGGATCACAGTAACAATGATATCGGTGGAAGCTATTCTTCGTCTCCTCCTCCATCTGTCAAGGCTAAGATCATGGCTCATCCTCACTACCATCGTCTCTTGGCTGCCTATATCAATTGCCAAAAGGTTTAAAGCTACATCAAACAACCTAAAAGCTTTTAAACCAAATTCACCGCTTTCCTCTTGTTGAGGAACAAGATCCATTCTTTCTGCATCTTTTCTTGCAAAAACGAAAAACTACCCTTTCATATTTACCTCCACATGTTGTTCTACTAGAAAACTTCTACTTGCATTTATGTCGAAATATTTATGTGAGTTCTTATGCAGTTGTTTATCTCACATCAGCACAGACAGAGATGGCTGTGATGGGAGGGGTTTTGTATTCTTTCTTTTCTTGCCTTAACTGATACTCCAAGGACCACATACTCTGTTGAAAAAGATGTGCAACAGGAAACCCTTTTGGAAATAACGATGAAAGAGACAGTAATATCAGCTAAATGTGTAAAACCCTCTTTAGCAAAAATGAAAACCATTATTGCAAAAGAGCTAATAAAAATGGAACTAACTCAACTAGTCATTATAAAATTTTGCTGCAGATAGGAGCACCTCCTGAAGTGGTGGCAAGGCTAGAGGAAGTCTGCACTTCTGCTGCAAGTCTTAGCCGTAACAACACAAGCTGTATTGGTGAAGATCCGGCACTTGATCAATTTATGGAAGCCTATTGTGAAATGCTGACTAAATACGAAGAGGAACTCTCGAAACCCTTCAAGGAAGCCATGCTTTTCTTGTCAAGAGTCGAGTGCCAGTTCAAAGCTCTCACTCTTGCTTCTTCAGATTCTGGTAGATGGCCCTAAATACCTATTTCCCTCTTCTTTTTTGACTTGATGAAAGACAGTTATTCTTCTCAGATCAGATCTTCTAAAACTGTTTGTGAGTTTGTTTACTGGTCGATTTTGTCTTTTTACTCCATAGTTTAATGAACAAGTCCATCATGTGCATGTTTCCAATAAGACGACCAAGATTTAATTAACTAAGGTGTGAGGTATAAGGTGCGGATTGTCTCCTCTTCCCTTTTGGAGTATTTATTTTTCTTTACTCTTGTTGACATTGATAAAATTTTGGGTTGGGCTTCTATTTATTGTTTCTTTTGCTTCACTGTTTTACTAGGGTATAAATATGACTGCAACCTAGGTCTCTCCAGGTCTCCTGTCTTAGGAGTAATATCTTAATGCAAATAGGCTTTGTGGGACTGATCCCTGCCTTTGTTAATTCCTTCTCGGTGTTTGCGACTCCTGGAGTAAGAACCTTTTCAGTTTTTATGCATTGTTCATCTCCAGTTTCGTAGTTACTTTTAAAGTTTTTGTGAGTGTAGACAGAAGCTAGCTTCATTTTGGAGCATGTTATGCAGCTCTTAGTCCGTGAGAAGGCATTAATAGAAGTTGCAATCAACTGGACAGTTACCAGAGTTTTTACACAGTATTCAAGCTAAGACAAACTGAGTGTTTTCTAGTTGACTTCAGAAAATGAAAGGTTTTCTAGTTTCAACATTTATACAGTTTTTATTCATTTCAAATTGTATATCTTGTGCTTTTATTTTTTAACAAGTCGTAAAGTTTTGATGAACATACGGTATAGGAGAGCAAGGGTTAAAGGTGGCCGAAAACTTTGAACTTAGATTTTGGGCTTTTTGCATCTAGGTTTAAAATGGAGGAAGATAGGGTGAAGTCTTGCCTCTACGACACCATCGGTTACAAAGCATAACGTGTTGATGAACAGTTTACTAGCGTTCTCTTTGGGAGTTTCTTCATTGACTTGACTTCCTTAGCTGTCTCTTTTTGTCACCTTTTCGTTTTTTACTCTATTTGATATAACTCGTATCATTAGCTGTTTGCCAATATTCAACAAGCCAAGGGGCACACTCAAATTTATGTTTCTGTTCAAGTCTTATTATTATGGTACGTGCCAAGTTGCTTCAACTTGCACAATTTTTCATCTTTTACTCTTTAGGTTCCCATAATTGATGGGGTGCATTGGAACTTGCCTTGAAGTAGATACGTCTCATCTGTGAAAATATGGTTGATGATTTCACATACAGGTCAAGTTTGCATTAAATCACTGTACCATTTGAATCTAATCTCTAAGTTGCAGTACTGCTGTGGAAATCCTGACTGAAAACTGTTTCTCTTTACCAACCAAAAAAGGAGAGAAAGGCGAACCTTTGCTGAACTTGGATGTATGAAAAGAGCTGTCTAGTTGTTTAGCATGAATGAATATGTGTGTTACACTACTGATATTTTTTATGGCATGCACGTTTAGTGTGAGTTTACTTGTCAAATCTCTTTTTATAGCTTGAAATTTTGGTGTAGTGCAGTGGTATTTAAGGAGAAATGCCTTCATGTGCAATTACTTCTCATTGCACAATGAAATGCAATAATTGGAGGACCTAGCAACATAGGTAAGCCCTATAACGAGACTTTGAGAATGATGCAGTAATTTTCAAAAGAGAAATACACAATTCTAGAGAAGTTTATAAGTTGAATTTTAGACTTTATATTGCATTTGGAGCTAATTACACTTGAAAGTTATAAATTTAATTTATTAAGATCACTTCTTGAAAAACGAAAGGTAGTTCATTCATGCTACTTGTATTAATGGTAGCAAGCCTGATCAATATCTTATAGAATTCATTCAGCGAATGGTTTCACAGGCTTCTTATTGGTTAGACTTGCTACTTAAATTCCAAACTTTGTGCGGTACACAATTTGTGTAGGAAGCAAATCATTGCAGTTTCTACACAGTGACTTCTTATTGAAGTGGTAGAAAATGTGTCTATCATGATAATTGAAGAATTATGGTGAAATGACAAGCCTTGGGTCCCGTGCTTTTCGCTTGAAATGAAGCAGAATGATGTGCCTCTCCAAGGACCGTGATGATGCCATGTTTGAAATTATTTATTTCCACATTTTCACAAGTACTTTTCAAGAGTTCAATTAGCATGTTCAACTATTTACATAACTTTGTTTGCTTCTTAACTTGGGCTGCACCTTCTGCTGTGAAGTTAAAGCTTTTCTTTTCCTCCTTTAACATGGAATACTATGATGCACATTCTGTATCGGAAAACACAACACTAGTATCAGAAACATGTAGGTTTACTTTCCTACAGTGAACATTTTCATGAAATGATGTAATATAAGTTCTTTCATTGTTTGAACCTTCTGAAATTAAAAGGAAAGGAAAGAGGCGCATTTTTTTTTTTGGAGGGGGGGGGGGTTGTCATTATCCAATATGATTTTTCTGCCCTTCATCAAAATTTATGTATGTTTTGGGCTCTAAAATATGTTTATTCAGTGTTCCCCATTGAGGAGCAAGCAGTTAAACATGAGTAGAGTTCATGATTAAGGTGATAGATGGCTCATTACAGAAAATGCATAGGAAGAACTGATCTGTTGTTTATAAACTGACATGGTTGATTTACCTTTTTAGTTGGACAGTATGTCTGGCTATCCTTTATCAACTAAAACAAACAAAAGAAATCAGGAGGACAAGTGGCTATGGAGTGCTTCAAGTAATAAAGAAATCTCTTTTGATTAGAGCGGGATGGTCTTTAACCTTGTGAACAATAGCGAAGTGGTTCGAACCTTGCAGATTTTATAACTTTTTAAGTCACCAATTTATTTTTCCTGCTGTTAAACTTTTTTTTCATTAGCCAAATGTTACTTGTTTTAATGTTCGAAGTGTTAAGCATACTTCATTTCATTTAAATTCCTTTATGTGTGGCTCATCAATCTTGAGGGACCTTATTTGATGGGCTCACAATTGGAACAATACATCTTGAGCGCCTTTGGTTTTTATTCTTTTTCCTAATATGCTGAATATCTGCATCAGTTTCATGGTTATTATTCCGAATTATGTTGTGAAAAAATAACACATGGTATCTGAAACCAAAGGTTGGTTATTATCTGCACAAGGTCAATGAATAACTGATTAGATAATGCATGGTCTGCAAGGTCTTCTCTCGTGGTGATTGTTGCAACAAGTAGTTTTTTTTGTTTCTAGATGCTCATGAGAACACTCTTGAAATACTAGCAGCTTGTGGAGAGGCTATGGACAGGAATGGATCCTCTGAAGAGGAGGTTGATGTGAACAACAGCTTCATTGACCCTCAAGCAGAAGATCGGGAGCTTAAAGGTCAGCTTTTGCGCAAGTACAGTGGATATTTGGGCAGCCTGAAGCAGGAATTCATGAAGAAAAGAAAGAAAGGAAAGCTGCCAAAGGAAGCCAGGCAACAGTTGTTGGACTGGTGGAGCAGGCATTACAAATGGCCATACCCATCGGTAACTAATTCAACTTAGATCACCTCATAATTACCTCTTGAGTGCATTCATTTGCTAAACATTTAGAAATTGTATTTCTCCCCGCATTTGTAACATCATAAATCGGTTGTGAACTTCTACTCTTTCCATAAAAGCATCAAGGAAGGCATTTACACACCCCTTACTAGGCTATGATTTAAAGTTCAATCACAGTAAAGCATCTCAAAGCTGTCCAAATAATAAGATGACAATAACATAGATGTAGACTTATATTCTGTTTCTAAAAATGGGGCAACTTAATGCATCAACAGGAATCACAGAAGCTGGCGCTTGCTGAATCAACAGGTCTAGACCAGAAGCAAATTAATAATTGGTTCATCAATCAAAGGAAGCGGCACTGGAAGCCTTCAGAGGATATGCAACTTGTGGTGATGGATGCCACACATCCCCACTATTATATGGACAATGTTTTGGGTAATCCCTTTCCAATGGACATCTCGCCTGCACTGCTCTAATTGAGCTGTAAGGCAATGGACTTTGCATTAGATGCCATTAAAATTTATGAACCACTACTTGCTACTGTCAACACCGGATCCTTGCTATATATGTTTTTGTAACTGCATTCTCCTCCTGGTACCAATGTTGCTACTCTTCAGTGTCTACCTTGGACACGTAGTGGATAGGTACTCTTAACACGATGTGCTGGAATATATATTTCCTTAATGCTTGCTACGTGTTTCAGCAAAATATTTGGGAGGTTAGTAGATAACTAACCATTTGCTGTGGTCATTTTCTGTGTTCTCTTGGCTATTCTCGATGAAATCCGACCCAGTTGCCCTTGACTAAAATGAGTACAAGGTTGGATTACATTTTTACATGCTGGTAATTTGTTGAATTGCCATCTGCACTTCCTATCTGTGTTAGCTTTTACTTAAAACTAAGATTGAAGCGAATAAGTCTCGCGGGAAGGCTTAGTAGTCATGATTGCCTGGATAAGACATGGTAATTATTGAATGGGAAGGAGGTTTCTGTGCGCTCTTGATCATTCACAGCCTGGTAAACACGATCCCCAGGTTATGATGCGAAATGTGCATTTAAACTGGCGACCATATTTTACGTTAGTTAGTTTCGTTTGATAAACTACCAAGCACTTGAAGGTTACTTGGCATATTGACCCTAGAGCTGAAAAATGAACCAAGTCTCGTTGCCTCTCGTTTTCGGTGCCTGGATTCATTCCGGAGGTCGGGATTCTGTAACAGCAAAATTGAGAAGGGGAAAAGAGCCAATTTCTCTCATTAGCCCTGTCTCTCGTTTTGCTCGCAGTTAAAAACTTTTATATAGCACATATCTTGACTTCCTTTGTTTGGAAAACCCAAAATCTTCTTGCATAATTTCGATGCACCTAACGCATATGGACCGTCTAGATTTTTGCGATCTAAGATGACTTTCTGAGAAGAGGATCAAATTTGAAATCTTATCATGGTATCATTTATGCAAATTTTTGAAGTACTTGTAACTTGAAAACTTTCTTTCTTTTCACATTACTCTTGCCATACGTTTGGCACTCAGGAATGACCTATGGCCTGAAAAGAAAGGCTGTTTCCATTTGTTCATTCCATTTCAATTTTGGAATGGATAATTTCAGTGGAAAAATCATTTTTTCTTGAAATGCTAATTTCAACTTTTTCCTGAAATTCCATTCTGCAAAAAAAAAAAAAAAAAAAATGTAGGGAAACTCTTTCTAATTTCATCATAGAATCCCAAATTAGAAAGATGCCAAGTTTATCCTTCTAAATAATTTTACTCCATCACCATATCTTAGAATATTTGTGAGCTCAATTAATAATTAAATGTAATTTTTTCTTGTGTTTAAAATAAAATTTTCTTTTCTAGTAGCAAACAAATGTTTTAAGAAACTTTATTCTCTGACTTGTGAACAATTGTACGGAATTTTAAAAAAAATTTATATAAAAATGAAAAATAATAAATTTAAAAGTATATTATATTCATTTGGCTTCATGTAATTTATACTTACATTACTAATTAATTAAGTATATTGCTAGTGGATGTAAAATTTTAACATCAAATTCGATATGCTAGAATGAATTACAATTGAAAAATTTTAATATCAATCATCAATTATTTTGAAAGCAAAAAATGTCAAAATTCCACTTAAACAAACAAATAACATAGTAGTACAAATCAACTAAAATATCTCATGTTCCAAAAACTAAATCCAGGGCAATTAAGTCAAAGTTGTATTAATTGTGTTCCATTTTGACATCTGACTATTGATTATACCAAATGTTGGAAAATGAGTGAATATCTTATTTTGACTTGTGTACCAGACACTGAAATGATAAATTTTTTTTTCCCTACCATTCTAGGTTGAAAGGTATTTCGGCTGGAAAAACTTTTTCATTCTGCCATTCTCGCATACCAAATGAGGGTTTTTTTTTTGTCGATACGATAGATTTTATTATACACCTACTTCTACTCTATACTAGAGGAAAGGGGACCTAAAGAGGTCAAGAAAAATCCACTGAATCGCCACCGGTCCAAATGGGTGCCTACATACCCATTGGCGAAATTTTCCAAAAAAGCTTGGATATTAGAAATAGAAAGTAGAGAGTTAAACATCTTTTAGTAGTCTCCAGAGTAGGAGTAGTTGGTTTAAAAATGAGGATTTATAATACTTGCCAAGAATAACATTGTGGCATTGAAAGTGGCATTTCCAGGAAATGCTCTTCATCAAATTGGGTTCCTGGGCCTAAAACAGATTCATTGCTTGCCAAGCTGTAAGGTAACAAATTGATATGTTCACCAAGTGTCCAAGTCTTCAGACTTGGGCCCTAGACGGACTGGGAAACGGATTTAATCCAGCTGCGTAGCAGGTGAACACTAAATAATCTTTCAACCAAAATAAGAACAGTAAAAAGATGGCTTTGCCTTTTTTTTTTTTTGTCAAAAGGATGTCTTTGCCATTTGCTTCACCTAACTTTCATTACGAGTACAATTATGCTATGCATGTAATGTACTACCTCATTTAAACCTAGATTACTAATAACAAACCAAGAAAAATTAAATAGGAATATGAGAAGTCATGAAATTGGCTCCATTTTTTGTATGCCAAACTTCAAATTTCAAAATTTAAGTTCAAAAATGGCTTAAGTATATGATACCCAAATTGGCACTTGAGATAGAAAAATTCTATAGTCCCTTTGGAATGTCATTCCTTCAATTTGTATTTATCAATGTTGATATTGGTTTAAATTGACTAAATAAAATTTTGATGTCTACAAATTTGTAGATTATTTGTTGTATAAAAATGTCAAATTGAAGATCAAAATCATAATCACAATTAGAAGTTGTTTAAGGGCGAATCACGACTTTAGTCCTCCATACTGTTTAGTAAATTACAAGGGAAAGCAATAATGCCATAAATTTGTGAACAAGATGTTAAACCAGCAGAGAGGTTGGATTAGGACATGTATACATGTTTTCAGCTATTTAATTTCTTTTTCAATCATATAGAAAGGTAAATCAATGAAAGAACATGTTCAGGGGATACATCAGTCAAGTACAAAATATAGGGAGTTTAATTCAAGGAGTAACATATTTTCATATGGTGGAGAGTGCATATTAGGAGTGCAAATGAGTCAATCTCATTTGAGTAACTCGCGAGTTTAGTCAATCAAAATTCAAATTCGAGCTCGCATTAACTAAGTTCGAGTCGCTTGATGAGCTCAAACTTGAGTTCAATACGTGAAATTCGAAAGTTTATTGGCTTACACACATCCACATGTATAATTTTTTTTTATTTGTTGGGATGAAATGTCTAGTTTGTCCCTTGCTTAAAATCATATAAAATGTAAATTTACATTACTTAAATTCGATTAGGTTCAATTAACCTCGACTGAGTTTGAATTAGACTTGAGAAAGGTAAAACAAAATCAAATTCAAATTTCAAAAGTTTAACAAGTTCAAATTTGAGTTCGAATCCAAGCTTTTTTAAACTCGAGTTGAACTCGACTACTGCTCGATTCAATTGCACGCTGGTGCAAGTCAGTTTTATGCTTAAGGGAGACATTTCATTATGATCGGCAAGTGTTGAACAACAAAAGAGGCTTGTTTGGATATCCATTTGAATCTATTCGTGTGGTCTGCATGCATTCATTAATTGAATTGAACAGTGCTATTAAAACCTAAACAATTACTTAATCATCAAATTAAAATACTCTATGGTTGCTTAGTAGGAGGCTAAAGAGACATAACTTTATAAAAAATGGTATGGATTAGAGAAATGCAACTGATGTTGAATGAAGCTCTATTTTGTGAACACTTTTGACTAAAATGAGTTTAAGATGTGGATTTTTTTTTTCAAGTAAACAATTCGCTCATCTCATCTCGTCTGCAATTTTTTTTGACAGGAGAAAAATCATCTTTCTTACCAATAACTTTAACTTACCTCATATTTTCTGTCAAACAAAAGAAACTTCATAATTTTGGAGGACAACCAGAACATTTCAATTGGCAATTTGGCACCAAAGAAATTCCATATGCGGCCACGCGTATCCAGGTTATTATGTTAACATTCAAATAAAAAAACTCTTCTTTCTTTTTAATTTCCTCCATTTCTCTCAAATAAAATAACGTATTCCTCCATAGGTGGAGGGAGGTCATTTGGTTTCCCTCCCTTTCCATATTTTATAAATATATATATTTTTTATATTTGTGATAATAAAGTCTCTCTTAAATTTTTAGTGGGTTATTATCCTCTCTTAAGATCTTCTTGCTAAAGATTTCCTTTTTCTCATAGAATTTTTAGCAAGATGGTATTCTAGTAGTAAGAATTTTTAGCAAGATGGTATTCTAGTAGTAAGAGTTTTCTTAAGCCCCATTTGGATTGCTATTTTTAGGATTTTTTTTTGTAGGAAAATATATTGTGATGATTTAATGTATGTGAAATAAAAAAATAATTGAAAAATGTGTTCACGTAAAAATTTTTCTGTCGAAATTTGTTGAGATCACGTTTCAACTTGATATATGGGATGAAATAGTTAAACAGTAAATTTGGCAAGACAAGACATGCAACATAAGTTTATTGAAATCAAAGAGATTGATATCATCAAGAATAGATTGGTGATTTCATAATGAAATATTTGATATTTTCTCAAATTTGGGGTATATTTAGAGTTTCTGATCTTTTGTTTCTGTCACAGGTTGCATTTTATTTGCAACTAGTGTAGTGTAGACCTCAAAGTGAAATTATATGATATTTTGTGGGCTTTTGTGCAGAGAAAATGATAATCCTTCTCAATTTCGACTCCAACCACGAATACTTTTAACAGTTTTTTTTGGTAATAGATAGAACTCCTGGAGCCACTTTCAATTTCAATCAAAGTGCAACAAAGCAAGTTGGATTTCCAAAATCCAAACTGATCTGTATTTGTTGTCACTTGTAATTTAACCTCAACTTATCTGTATATAAACAGATAGCCTTCCAATTTCACCAAAATTATGCCGGTGCCCCTAAATCCTCGAAGCAGACCGAACCAACGATCCCTACCCCCTGCAAATTTTACCGTTTGGTATAGCGCAGACGCAGACCCAGACCCAGAAAACAGCTATAAATAATTACTACCAAAACCCGTCTATTTCAACGGAAGATAAAATAAAAAATACAAGCAAAGCTTCTCAGTCTTTACAGCAAAGCCAAGCGCAGCACAGTCAAAGGAAAGAAACCCTCCTCTTTCCTCATTTCTTGTTCCCCATTTCCCCTTCGCCAT